ACAAAGAAATAAAAGGCATCCAGATTGGTAAGGAAGAAGTTAAACTGTCACTATTTGTAGATGACATGATAATGCACATTAAAAAAACTAAAGAATACACCCCAAAACTACTAAAATAACTGAATTCAGCAAAGTTGCAGGATATAAAATTAACACACAGAAATCTGTTGCATTCCTGTATACTAACAATGAATTAGAAAAAGAAATCAGGAAAACAATTCCATTCGCAATTTCATAAAAAAGAATAAAATACCTAGGAATAAACCTAACCAAGGAGGTGAAAGACCTATACTCTGAAAACTATAAGACACTCATGAGAGAAATTAAAGACACCAAAATTGGAAATACATACCATGCTCATGGATAGGAAGAATTAATACGGTCAAAATGGCCATCCTGCCTAAAGCAATATACAGGTTCAATGCAATCCCTATCAAAATACCAAAAACTCTTCAATGAACTAGAAGAAATCATTCTAAAATTCATATGGAGCAATAAAAGACCCCAAATAGCCAAAGCAATCCTGAGAGGGAAGAATAAAGCTGGGGGGTTTACACTCCCTGATTTCAAGCTCTACTACAAAGCCACAGTAATCAACACAACTTGGTACTAGCACAAGAACAGACCCATGGATCAATGGTACAGGCTAGAGAGCCCAGATATAAACCCAAGCATATATGGTTAATTAATATATGATAAAGGAGCCATGGACCTAGAATGGGGAAATGACAGCCTCTTCAACAACTGGTGTTTGCAAAATGGACAGCTACATGTAAGAGAATGAAACTGGATCATTGTTTAACCCCATACACAGAAGTAAATTTGAAATGGATCAAAGACCTGAATGTAAGTCATGAAACCATAAAATTCTTAGAAAAAAACATAGGCAAAAATCTCTTGGACATAAACATGAGTGACTTCTTCATGAACATTATCTCACCGGGCAAGGGAAACAAAAGCAAAAATGAACAAAGGGGTCTATATCAAGCTAAAAAGCTTCTGTTCAGCAAAGGACACCATCAGTAGAACAAAAAGGCATCCTAGAGCATGGGAGAATATATTCATAAATGACAGATCCCACAATGGGATATATAAAGAACTCAAACGCCTCAACACCCAAAAAGCAAATAACCTGATTAAAAAATGTGCAGACGATCTGAAGAGACAATTCTTTAAAAAAGAAATTCAGATGGCCAACAGGCACATGAAAAGATCCTCCACATTCCTAATTATCAGGGAAATGCAAATTAAAACCACAATGAGGTATCACCTCACAAGAGTTAGGATGGCCAACATCCAAAAGACAAGGAACAACACATGCTGGTGAGGATGCAGAGAAAGGTAAACCCTCCTACACTGCTGGTGGGAATGTAAATTAGTTCAGTCATTGTGGAAAGCAATATGGAGCTTCCTCAAAAAACTAAAAATAGAAATACCATTTGACCCAGGAATTCCACTCCTAGGAATTTACCCAAAGAAAACAAGATACCAGATTCAAAAAGGCATATGCACCCCTGTTTATCACAGCACTATTTACAATAGCCAAGATAATGGAAGCAACCTAAGTGTCCATCAGTAGATGAATGGATAAAGAAGATGTTACATATACACAATGGAATATTATTCAGCCTTAAGAAGAAAACAAATCCTACCATTTAAAACAACATGGATGGAGCTAGAGGGTATTATGCTCAGTGAGATAAGCCAGGCGGAGAAAAACAACTACCAAATGATTTCCCTCATTAATGGAGGATAACAACAAAGCACAACTGAAGGAACAAAACAGCAGCAGACTCACAGACTCCAAGAAGGGACTAGTGGTTACCAAAGGGGAGGGTAGGTGGGGAGGGAAGGAGAAGGGGATGAAGGGGCATTATAATTGGGACACATGGTGTGTGCAGGGTGATGGGGAAGACAGTGTAGCACACTGAAGACAAGTAGTGAGTCTGTGGCATCTTAGCATGCTGATGGACAGTGACTGCGGTGGGGTGTGTGGAGGGTCTCGATAATATAGGTGAATGTAGTAACCACAATGTTGCGCATGTGAAATGTTTTAAGATTGTATATCAATGATACCTTAATTAATAAATAAGGTTTAGCAAAATCCTTAACTTATGCTTCAACAGACATTGAAAGAATACCTGTACCTTCTACATCTTTTGCCACTTAAACGGTGTGAAATAATCTGAAAAAAAATTTTCTTCTCATTAAAAAAACAAACAAACATTAAGAGACAAAAGAGAGGAACTGTTCAAAGAGGGAAGGGAGAAGTTAGCTGAATTTGATAAAAGGTGTTTGGCAATCAAGGCCAGACATAGATTTAAAGCTATTTGCTTCCTCCAAGAAAATCCAACCTGGGGGGTTTGCCCACTGGGCTGGTGGACAGCTCCTGATGGGCAGGGTTCCCCTGGGCTCGCAGGTCCCTTCCTGACCTCAGTTGCTGGTTCACACTGAGTTTCCTTCCAGGGAAACCATCAGAGAGCTCCCCATGGGTCTGTCCATCCCCATGAGGGGATGAGAGCTGGCACCCCACCAGGGGTCCCAGGCACAGGTACAGAGGATTAATACAATAGAGTCCTGCTCTGGCAGGAGTGATCCAGCCCCAGGGGTGAACCAAAGTGAACACTCTGGTGTCCTTCCAACCACTCTTTTCGTCAGTACATAATTATTTCAACAGATGCGATTCCACTTTCTATAACCTGGTTTTTAAAAATCTCTTAACCCAACAACATAGAGCTTTCCTGTTAGATGCAGCAGAGTGTGGTGGAGCGCAGTGGTGGTGGTGAAGGCACCTCCCCCTATAAGAGGCCTGCAAAGAGTTGCTGTAAAGAACAATATAGCTCACCTGGGCGATGTGTGAATGTTCCAGGTGGCTCATGGTGGCTGCTGTGCTGGCTGCCACCACCTTCACCCATGTACCTTCCAATGGCTGAGATCCCACCAAGGAGGTGTGGTTATGAAGAGTTTAGCCCATGGAGGCTGCACATTCCATTTGTTACTAACTTTTCATGATTAGGGACAGTACTGTATTTAAGATTTCTGGGGATGGCATCTCAGAAATGGGATGACCAGTCAAAAGGAATGGGTATTTCCACCTTCTTTACAAATAAGCACAGTTGTTACAGACTTTCCCAAAACACAGAGCTAGCAGGGTGTGCCCAGCCCACAGGGGGTGATAGGACAGGGAAGGGCAGTGAGATGCAGGCACATGAGCCGTTCCTGTCAGATTTGGGGGAGAGAAGCTGCCTCACACCTGACCTTGTGTGGAGATTAAACAGCATGCCTGGTATGAACTTGCAAGCCTTTTCCAGGCCCAGACACCTGACGTTCAGAAGGCCGACCGCAGCCTGGCCCTGATAGTGAGTGTGAGATGCACTCCCCCAGATCACACTGCTTCTCCACCTGGCGCCCCAGGCTCTGCTGTCGCCCTGGCACCCACTTCCCTCTGGCCTCCATCTCAGCAATGTCCAACAAGCTGGGTGTCCACCAGTGGAGACCCACAGAGGACCCATAGCCAACAGTGACCTCGAAGAAAAGCCTGGCCTTGCAGCTTTAACAGAAATCCACACCTTGTCCACTTTGCTGTGATACATTTTCAGTCAGCTCTACTTATTATGAATGACAATAAGTGTCCTGGTTAGATAAACTTAGGTAAACAGGAGGGAAAAAAGGTGACTTTAGACCATTAAGTCAACTCTGGTGTGGGTGGCACAGGGTGGTGGCTAACATCATGGTATCATCAGGAGATTCCAGGTGGGCCTCGAGCCCCAGCAGCCTCTCCCTGTCCTCATCCACTGCGTCAGCTGAGTTTGGGCCCTTCCTCCATGAGTGTCTCCTGATGGTTCCTCTGCGTCTGTCTGCTCTGACCAGACGTGTCTGACCACCCTCCACTACTGCTGCCTGGCCCTGGAAGCACTGTCAAACTCACCACTCCCTATGCAGACCCTCCAAAGGCTCTCAAGGAAGCCCCGAGCAATCTGGGACCCGGCCCTGCCAGCTCCAAGGCCTATGTGCACCACCAGCACCAGGCACCAATGCTCACCCTGCACTCCTGCCACGCCAGCACAGCGCCTACCTTCTCTGCTGCTTCTGTCCTGCGGGGCGGTCCCTTCAGTTGCCCTCTGCTTTTAGCTCATGCTGGCTCCCAGGCCTTGGACACGATTGGCTGCCCACCCAGAGTCCACTCCTGCTACCTTTTCCTGAGGCACTGACAGCATCTAGAGCCACACAGTCTACCAGCCCAGATGGGGGCTCCTGGACTTTTTCTTACATGTGCCATCAAATCTCACTGACTAGTCACGATTTGTGTTGCTTGTAGCTAAAGTGTCCTCATGACAGCCATCAGCCCCACGCTGGGTTCAGTATCTACTTCACAAGCCTCTGCTGGTCCCTGCACCCACCCCCACCCCCAAATCCCTGCCCTCACTGGCCTCCCCCACAAAGAGGTACTCAACCCACCCAGCAAATGAACAAATGAGTGAGCCAGATCCAGCCTGAAGGGCTGGGGTGTGACCCCCTCTGTGGAACCTGCACACAGGCTATGAGTTCCCGCTGCTCCAAACCGGAAGTACTATATTTCCGCTTCCCCACTGTTTCTCCCATCGTAAAGGCAGGACCCAAAGAATGCACAAAATGACCAACAGTTCTGGGAATTTCTGTCAGAATCCTGGCCTGCCCCAGCCTAGGGCTGCCATCTCCATTACAAAGGAAGTTAGGAGAAGGATAAAGATAGTCTACAGGAGGGCCTGGAGAACCCAAGGCCCTGAAGGCCCCTGGGCACCCACTTCATGGATGATCCGGGCACCAGCATGCACTTGGGAAGTGCGTGCAGGGTGGCAGAGCTGCACTCCAGGGCTCAGGAATGCCTGCACCCAAGCCCAGGCCTTCCAACTTCTGGCTATGGGACTCTAGCTCGTCTTGGTACCACACTGAGCCTGTTTTGCCAGCAAGCATGTATGTGACCAGGGTGAGGGGTCACCTCCCTCATGGGCCCCTCCTACCTGAATGCCTGGTTCTCGCGGTTGTTCTGGAGAGCGATGGTTTCCACCTCGGGACCCCCATCTGCTATGAACCTGGCCAGCTTTTCTGCAAGGTTCTTGGTCTCTTCGTCCTCTGGGGGTGAAACTTTAAGCAGGCTGTCAGTACTGAGCTCAACTCACCACACCCAACAGCCTAATTTCTGCTAAGAACCCCACAGGCAACAAGAGGGGTTTATTTTAGGAACAATGCAAAGAAAAACAGGCAAATGGGAATCAGATTACTGCACTGGGAACAAACACCAGAGTTATTACAACGTATCTCAGCCACCCCGCAAACCCTGGCCCTTCCCACCCATTAGGTCATGGGGGGTTTTGAACACACTGGGACATGGAGGCAGAATGCAAGGGAAGGTCTGGGTCCAGGTCGGAGGGGAGACGGGCACCCCCACCTCAGACTTTCTGCTGGGAGCTGCTCTCCCAGGTCACTCAGTGGGCGGACCTGGCCCTCCTCTCTTGGGGAGGTGGTCAGGGCAAAGGGCCACAGGTGACAGATACAATGAACCAACCTCTGTGGCCCACATTCGGGTTAAACATCAACCCACAACCGAGGTTGGGTTTTTACTTCATTACAGCTGGAGACCAGTCAGCACCTCCCCCACCCCTGACATGCACCCAGCCAGCACCTCACCAACTGTATTCCCTCTGGTCCCCCTCCCCAAGTGTTAGGCATACATTTGTCTCTAGGCAGCAGACACTTGTTAACATTTGTTAAAATGACCATGAACCAACAGCATGTGCTCCTGCCCTCCGCCCTCTTTACATGCACAGAGGTGAGCTCCTGAACATAACCTTGACCTTGGCCTTCAGACTTCCCCACTCCTAACATGACCCCCCCTGCCTAGGAGGGCACAGACTGGAGCGGCTGACACCACCCCAACACCACAGCAGCCTCTGGGAACAGTATTTCCATGTGGGGCATGGTTTGTCTCACTCCCCTCCAACCACTTACCTTTCTGGGAGACTGCCTGCAACTTCTCTGCTCCCTTTCTGATCTCAGCTATCTTCTTTCTGTAGTAGAGGAATTCCCTGCTATTCTTATCGTGTAAAAACCTGGAGGGGAGTGTCACAAAACAGAGGAAGGTGAGCAACGGGGGGCAGGCTGACCCAGACAGCTTCTGAAGCAAGCAGGACAGCAGAGATGCCTTAACAGGGCTCAAAAGTAAGTGTCTGGGCCACAGTGAAGCCCCTTGCAACCTTGGGAGCGAGTCAGAAGGTGCTCGGAAGCTCAGGACATCATGGAGGCAGAATGCAAGGGAAGGTCTGGGTCCAGGTCGGAGGGGAGACGGGCACCCCCACCTCAGACTTTCTGCTGGGAGCTGCTCTCCCAGGTCACTCAGTGGGCGGACCTGGCCCTCCTCTCTTGGGGAGGTGGTCAGGGCAAAGGGCCACAGGTGACAGATACAATGAACCAACCTCTGTGGCCCACATTCGGGTTAAACATCAACTCACAACCGAGGTTGGGTTTTTACTTCATTACAGCTGGAGACCAGTCAGCACCTCCCCCACCCCTGACATGCACCCAGCCAGCACCTCACCAACTGTATTCCCTCTGGTCCCCCTCCCCAAGTGTTAGGCATACATTTGTCTCTAGGCAGCAGACACTTGTTAACATTTGTTAAAATGACCATGAACCAACAGCATGTGCTCCTGCCCTCCGCCCTCTTTACATGCACAGAGGTGAGCTCCTGAACATAACCTTGACCTTGGCCTTCAGACTTCCCCACTCCTAACATGACCCCCCCTGCCTAGGAGGGCACAGACTGGAGCGGCTGACACCACCCCAACACCACAGCAGCCTCTGGGAACAGTATTTCCATGTGGGGCATGGTTTGTCTCACTCCCCTCCAACCACTTACCTTTCTGGGAGACTGCCTGCAACTTCTCTGCTCCCTTTCTGATCTCAGCTATCTTCTTTCTGTAGTAGAGGAATTCCCTGCTATTCTTATCGTGTAAAAACCTGGAGGGGAGTGTCACAAAACAGAGGAAGGTGAGCAACGGGGGGCAGGCTGACCCAGACAGCTTCTGAAGCAAGCAGGACAGCAGAGATGCCTTAACAGGGCTCAAAAGTAAGTGTCTGGGCCACAGTGAAGCCCCTTGCAACCTTGGGAGCGAGTCAGAAGGTGCTCGGAAGCTCAGGACAGCATGTGCGGGTAAGCACCCAGCCCCTGCTGGCCTCAGCCACAACCACATGTTTTACAAGCATGTCTGCACAGATGTAGTACTGTGTAGCAAAAACATTAAGCACCAGTGGCCTTCCCCTCCCAGAAGTACTTACGAAAATGCCGGGTTATCCTTGTGGTTCTCCATAGCTACTTTTTCTAACTCGGGGCCTCCTTCTGCCACAAAGCGGGCCAATTTCTCTATGACTTTTCGAGTCTCGGCTCCCTCTGGGGGTGAAACTTTAAGGAGGCTGTCAGTACTGGGATTCAACTCACACACCCCACAGTCAACAGGCACACTCTCTCTATGGACCACAACAGAGGGGTGGGGGAGAAGAGGGTGAGATGTGGGAGGTTGTCAGACGGCCCAAGTGCATGCACAAAGCCCCAGGACAAGGTGGGGGGTGGCCCGAACAGTCCTGGTGAGGTGCACTGGGTGGGAGAGAAATGTGTGAGCATCCCGAAGGCCAAGCTAATCCTCAGGCTAGGAGGGAGCTGGATGAAAACATGGCCAGCCTGTCCCCTTTGCTGGGATGATGCTTTATTATTTTATTTACTAGTGGTTCAGTGTAATAAATCAGTTCCCTTTCTTTCTTCAGAGATGACTCATTCTTTTTAACAACACTATTAAAAACTGATTTGAACACATTGGGTGGATTCCAATTCATGGCAATTAATATCATCACAGCTTAATCGTCCCCTATGGACGGTGGGGCCTCTTCAGGCTGGCCTGAGGCCTTTGGGCACGAACCCAGAGTCTCTGGCAGCCTCCTCACCATCTATTGGAACAGGCTGCTCCAGGACTATCTCAAATGCGTCCTGCCCAGACCTAGGCCAGCCATTTCGCCACGTCCTGGTTTCCATGCGTGAGAAAGGATGTTTCCAGACCACCATGTTGGTGCTAAGGGCGCTCACTGCAATGGGCTTAACCATTACCTCAAGGCCTTTTCAGGAAGCAGAGCTATAAAAATAGTTTGCATTTGTATCAGCCTCCTCTTTGAGCCATGTGGAACTTGCTTTTGTATTTACCAATGGCCCGTTTTTCAGGCCACCTAGCAGCTCATACACAGCTTGTGCCCCTTTTATGAGAATTCCAGGATGTTCACCTATCACTTGTGGCAGAGGGGCTAAGCTCTGAGCCTGCTGCCAGTCTTACTCCCCTTGTTACTTAGGCTGCTAGGAAGCTCAGGGTGGGGGCAGTCAGAATGTGTGGCCTGAGGAGGACCCTCAAGAGATCCCCGTAACACTGTACTTATCTTTCCCCCCAGCCTCACCCTCCTCCTGCAAGCTGGGCGATCACCCTCATCAGGTCGCTATTTACAGACATAGCTGCCTTTCTGAGGCCATATCAACAGCAGCCATAACAGGCCTTAAGGGCCTCGAGACACCTGCCACCTCTGGTAAAGCAGCACTTTCCCAGCTGAGTACTGCCAGAGTGCCTGAGGAAATGCCACCCTCCCTGGCTCTGTACTGACGGGTGCTCCAGGGTGCAAGGCTGGCCACTGATCTGTTCACATTGCCAAAAGCTGGCACCCTTATTCACAACGGAGTCTATAGGCTTCCACGCATGCCTATTATGATCACTTCAGTCTGTCCTCAGTGTGGTGCGGCTGTGCCAGTGAGCCTATAGCAGAGGTGGCCAGGCCTCCACATGGCTCAGCGGGCACCAAGGCCTCATTCTGAATGTGGACAAGGCTAGACACACTAGCAGTGCCATCCTCTGACCTCCTATAACACAGGGCCTGGACTGACTTTCCAAGGCCAATGACTGCCCTTCTCCTGAGCAGGAGAGTGCACCCTCCAACTTGTGGGCTTGTACTGGTGGGGACAGGTAACCCCCAATGACCAGCAGTGCTCTGGACCTCAAAAGGCTCAGAGGGTGCGCACCCAGGCTGCGGAGTTGTGGAAGTGCCTCCTACCGTGTCCAATGAAGAGAATGCCCCTGCTCTGGCTGGAGACCAGCCCCGCGTGTGGACAATGGTTCCCACAGCTCCCAGGGTGAGAGCCAGTCTGCAGCCCTTCCACCCCCACCTCCCAACACCCTTTCTCCACTATCCCTCATCCCAGAGGACCTCAGCTCAGCCTGGAGGCTGGCGGCACTCCTGTTGACACTGTCCCCACTGACCACGGATCCTGCCCCCAGTGCTGGAAGGGTAGTGATGGAAGTAGGGGGCAGCCTCCACACCTTACCTTTGATCTCCAACCACTGCTCGTAATCCTCCTCCTCCTCCTCATCAGGAGACTGGAAGACACTCGGGCGGCTGGCCACTGGCAGTTGCTTGGCATGCATGTAGTTCTTCACCTGGCCTGGTGGGCTGCTGATGAGGGGGGGCCTCTTCCCAGCTCTGGGGAGCACACGAGGAGGGGCACTGGGCGTACTGGGAGGGGGATCTGGGGACGAAAGGAAGGAGAGCCCCACTCAGGGTGTGTGCTGCATGCTTCCCTGTCTTCTTCCCACCTGACCCACATGCCGTGAGCCCCTGGGGGCTGGGCCCTCAGCTTCCAGCAAGGGGCCTAGCAGGCAGTTAACACTGCGAGAGGACACCATCCCCATCTGACAGATGACACTGAGGCTCAGAGAAGAGCAACTTACCACAGTCACTCAGCCTAGAGAAGACAGGCCAGGTGCCATGGCAGGAGATGTCCCCAACACCTGCACCGACAGTGCAGGGGTATGCCAGCCCGGCCTGTAAGACCCGAATCTCCACACCTGGCCTACAATCACACCCTCTGGCAGTCAGTGGCAAGCTGAAACCAACCTGCTGGAGGCTTTGCAAACACAGTGATTTGGCTGCGACACTGTACGAAGGTCTTACAGAGCCCTTCCTCCCTCTCTGGGGCTAAATCTGGCCTTAGGTTAACTTTCTTAACTGTTTCCTAGAAAACCTAACAGATCAAAGGCCAGTTGTTTCACCAGCAACTTTGTGAGAGTAAAGATGAGCTCTGACTGGTGAGTGCACAACCACAGATAGAGATGAGAATGCTGTGGTGATTTTGGCACCTGCCCTGTCACATGGGGCTTCTGTGAGCCAGATGGCACCCACCCCAGGACAAGGGTCCTGTTCCTCATACCTGATACTACTGCTCTGGTCCGAGCTGAGGTCATACAGCATGCTTAGTCAGGCCCCCGCACCCCTGGCCTAAATCCAGTCTTACTTGTCTCTGCTCCATTGGGGTAAGCATCTTGAGAGTGGGATCTGCACCCTGCCCTGGGCATTTAGTGTGGGGACATGTGGAACAAGCGTGCTCAGAGAACACAGGATGGGAGGCAGGAGCGCGAGGTCAGACGTGCCACATCTGAGATGCTGAGAGGGAGCCCCGAGGGAGAGCACCAGGCTGGGGGAGCCCCCAAAGGAGGAGACAGGAGATGGAGGACTGTGCTCACCTGTGCTGGTCTGTGCCTTCTGCAACTTCAGAAACTGCTGCAAGAAACTGCCGTCGTTCGCAAACTTGTTGGAAATGGAAGAGTTGTGCACATTCGCAAATCTAACCCCGAGACAGAGAATGAAGAGGGTGAGAGGAGGGGTCTCTCCCATGTCAGCCTCATGCCCTGGCGTTCTTGTCTAGCAGAGCCCAAAAACAACCCCCAAAAATGTCCGGAGACTACTGAGTGCACAGAGCAGCCTTCAAAGTAGTAAGATGGAACAATCCGATTCTAGTCAAAGCAATATCACCTATATTAATGTTACCTCTACCCGCACATTGGCCCAATGGCCTCGCCAGCAAAATGGCTCAGAAGCACCTGCCCCTCCTGCACGGCACCTGTCATACCTGCTTTTAACTAATTATCTGGGCCATTACAGGCTCCCATGACTGTCTTCCCAGACAGACTTCAGAGATCTCCAAGGCAGAGCCTGTGTGCGTCTATACCTGTGTGTGACTGCAGCTCTGGGCCTGGCCAGCTCGCCAGCACTTCTGTGGGCATCACACATGCACAGGAAAACGCCCAATGCAATCCCTTGGTGGGAGAATTACAGGAGAATTTTATATTTTTGTCATATTTACTTTTTTCTCTTGGTGAAAAGTCTGTTTTACTTAAAAAGGGAAAAAAATTTTAAATGTCTATTTTTAACAAATCACCACAAAAGCAAACCCAGGGGCCCAAATTTTTAATTCCAGTTCATTTTTCCCTGTCACAAAAGTAACAGAGGCTCATTATGGAGCAGATGGGGACATAGAAAAGCAGAAACACTGAAAGCAAGGGTAAGAAAAAACAAAAATGGCTCCTCATCTCATAGTAGCCATTCTCAACACTTTGGTACCATTCTTTGACTTGCTCCCAAATTATAAATAGAAGAAATAAGGTTGTGATAGTAAGTGCATATCCTAATCTTTCCATTTTCTACTACAACACACCACCCTGCCCCAACCTCAGAAGTTCCTGGTTCACCCTGCTTCCAAGGCCATGCCACATCCCATCATACAAAGATGTTCAATAATTGGTAAAAGCTCAGTGAGCCCACAGGCCTAGTCTTTTTCCTTCAAAGTTGTTTTATCTTTCTGGAAATCTGTTCCAATGAACTAAGAAAGGAAACAACCTAGCTCGTCAACAAGTGGCACTAGTTAGATTACTTCCTTCCATAAGGCAAGTTGAGTGGCCCTGAAAAGGCACAATTTCAGAGATGAAACAATCAAGTATGACCCTAAACGAAAAACAAAAAGCAGGATGATGTCCATTCATAATAAAAACTCTCAACAAAATGGATATAGAGGGCAAGAACCTCAACATAACAAAGGCCATATATGACAAACCCACAGCCAACATCATACCTAACAGTGAGAGGCAGAAAGCCTTTCCTTTAAATCGGGAACAAGATAAGGCTGCCCACTCTCTCTACTTTTATTCAACATAGTTCTGGAAGTCCTTGTCACAGCAATTAGACAACACAAAGAAATAAAGGGCATCCAGATTGGTAAGGAAGAAGTTAAACTCACTGTTTGCAGCAGATGTCACGGTATTGTACATAAAAAACCCTAAAGAATCCACTCCAAAACCTACTAGATCTAGTATCTGAATTCAGCAAAGTTGCGGGATACAAAATGAATATATAGAAATCTGTAACATTCCTATACACTAATGATGAACTAGCACAGGGAGAAATCAGAAAAACAATTCCATTCACAATGGCATCACAAAGAATAAAACATGTAGGAATAAACCTAACCAAGGAAGTGAAAGACCTATACTTTGAGAACTACAAGACACTCATGAGAGAAATTAAGAAGATATCAATAAATGGAAACACATCCCATGCTCATGGATAGGAAGAATTAATATTGTCAAAATGGCCACCTGCCTAAAGCAATCTACAGATTCAATGCAATCCCTATCAAAATACCAAAAGCATTCTTCAATGAACTAAAGCAAATCATTCTCAAATTCATGTGGAACCACAAAAGACCCCAAATAGCAAAAGCAATCCTGAGAAGGAAGAATAAACCTGGGGGATCACGCTCCCCAACTTCAAGCTCTACTACAAAGCCACAGTAATCAAGACAATTTGATACTGGCACAAGAACAGACTCATAGGTCAATGGAACAGACTACAGAGCCCAGATATAAACCCAAGCACATATGGTCAATTAATATATGATAAAGGAGCCATGGACATACAATGGGGAAATGACAGCCTCTTCAACAGCTGGTGTTGGCAAAACTGGAGAGCTACATGCAAGAGATTGAAACTGGATTATTGTTTAACCCCATATACAAAAGTAAACTTGAAATGGATCAAAGACCTGAATGTAAGTCATCAAACCATAAAACTCTTAGAAGACGACACAGGCAAAAATCTCCTGAATATAAATATGAGCAACTTCTTCCTGAACGCATCTCCTCGAGCAAGGGAAGCAAAAACAAAAATGAACACATGGGATTACATCAAACTAAAAAGCTTCTGTATGGCAAAGGACAACATCAACAGAACAAAACGACATCCTACAGTGTGGGAGAATATATTTATAAGCGACATATCCGACAAGGGGTTAACATCCAAAATATATAAAGAACTCACAGGCCTCAACACCCAAAAAGCAAATAACCTGATTAAAAAATGGATGGAGGATATGAAGAGATCCTTCTCCAAAGAAGAAATTCAGATGGCCAACAGACACATGAAAAGATGCTCCACATCACTAATCATCAGGGAAATGGAAATTAAAACCACAATGAGATATCACCTCACACCAGTGAGGATGGCCAGCATCAAAAAGACTAAGAACAACAAATGCTGGTGAGGATGCGGAGAAAGGGGAACCCCCCTACACTGCTGGTGGAAATGTAATCTAGTTCAACCATTGTGGAAAGCAATATGGAGGTTCCTCAAAAAATTATAAATAGAAATACCATTTGACTCAGAATATCACTCCTTGAAATTTACCCAAAGAATACAAGTTTTCAGATTCAAAAAGACATATGCACCCCTATGTTTATCGCAGCACTATTTACAACAGCCAAGATATGGAAGCAACCTAAGTGTCCATCTGTAGATGAATGGATAAAGAAGTGATACATATACACAATGGAATACTATTTGGTCAGAAGAAAGAAACAAATCCTACCATTTGCATCAACATGGATGGAGCTAGAGGGTATTATGCTCAGTGAAATAAGCCAGGTGGAGAAAGACAAGTGCCAATGATTTCCCTCATTTGTGGAGTATAACAATGAAGCAAAACTGAAGGAACAAAACAGCAGCAGACTCAGAGACTCCAAGAAGAGACTAGTGGTTACCAGAGGGGAGGGGTGTGCAGGGGTGGGTGGGGAGAGAGGGAGAAGGGGATTGAAGGGTATTATGTTTAGTGCACACGGTGTGTGAGGGGGTCAAGAGGAAAACTGTAGCACAGAGAAGGCAAATAGTGAATCTGTGGCATCTTACTGCACTGATGGACAGTGACTGCATTCGGGTATGGGTAGAGACTTGCTAATATGGGTAAATGTAGTAACCACATTGTTTTCTCATGTGAAACCTTGATAACTGTGTGTATCAATGATATATTAATAAAAAATTATAAGAACAAAAAACAAAAAACAAAAAGCAAGATATAAAGTAGCATCAACAGTGTGGCCCTGCTGATGTCAAACTATGTTTGAATTAAAAACTGCTAGAAAAGTTCATCAAAATGCAGCCGGCATGTGTCTCTGGGTGGCAGGGTTATAATGACTGATTTTTCTTTGCTTTTCTGCATCATCTACCAGGTATATGAATTCTCTTAAAAAAAAAGGGCAAAACAAGTTATTTTTTATGATAAGAGGAAGTTCTGTGGATAACTAGCCTTCAGTATTAAACAACAGGTCTTTCTGGTGACCATGGCCCTGTCCTCACACTGTGTATGAGGGACATACATGGGAGAGATGGGAAAGAAAATGCAGACAATGAAAGACAAGAAAACACAGACAGGCTGCAGGAAGTCCAACCAGTGAACCCCACTTGAAAACCACCCATAAAACGGTAGGGGATGTTATACAGCAGTTTAAAATGCTGGCTCTTGATAAGCAGATAAACAAAATATGTTGTCACACAGTAGAACATTATTCAGCCATAAAAAGGAATGAAGTCCTGACATGTGCTACAATGTGGATTAATGTTGAGGACACTGTGCTGAGTGAAAGAAGCCAAATACAAAAGTCTGCATGTCACAGTATATGAAAGATCTAAAATCTGCAAATATACAGAGGCAGATAATATCTTGGTGGTTGCCAAGGGGCTGGAAGCCGGAGAAATGGGGAGTGACTGCTAATGGGAATAGGGTTCTTTTTGGAGGTGATAAAATGTTCTGCATTTAGATAGCAGCCATGGTTACATAGTGCTGTGAATATACTAAAAATTATTAAGTTGCACAGTTTAAAAGATAAATCCTATGGTATGCAAAAATCTAAAAACTATGTTAGTTCTGAAGACTAGTAATGCAGGGAATAAGCTTTTCTTTTAAAAAGCGAAAAGGAAATCAGTACACACAATTGTTCACAACTTACTAAAACAAAGCAAAGATGCGGAAGGAGGACTACATATCCAAGTGGTAGTCTTAAGTTAACTTGAATGTTTCTTATTTCTTCACTGAGAAATCATAAAATCTGGCTTTCTACACGTTTACAGTAGGAAAAACCATCTTATTTCCAAAGCTACCTGTACTATACACCCACGTACCTGATGTTCCCTTTCAGGTGCCTGATCCCGGCACTGGGATCCAGCAGCCTCCAGGAGGCCCTCCTGGAAGAGATCCTACAGGCTTTTCCTGTTTTGGTGCAAGTCCTCCCATAACCCCATGGTGAGAGCCTGCGAGCCCGCCCACTGACAGATCACCCAATACCCATATCCACGTTCATGAGCGTCTTGGAGGTGCCAAGCCCTGGGTTCCACCAGGAATAAGGTCTAACTCCAGTTCAAGGAGAATCCACAGACTCTTAGAAGAGGCAGGAACTGGTACAGAGCTTTGTGGAAGGGTCCCACACACCACGCTCCAGACCCGAGAGGGGAGGGCCTGCCTCTCCGTTTGTTACCCTCCAGCCTGAAATTCTTCAATGTCGTTATTTTGATCACACCATCCCTGCTCAAAACTCTTGAGTAAAACAAACAAACAAACAAACAAACAAAAACTCGTGGGTGCCCTGAGCGTTCCTCAGGACAGGAAGAAACCATGCTTCACCGATCTCCCACCTGGCTCCAGAGGAGCCCCGTCGGTGAAGTTTCTTCAGGAAGGCTCTGCCCTCTAGGCCTTCCCGGAGCTGGCATCTCTTCATCTCAAATGTCTTCTGCTCAAAAAGGCCTTCCTTGATCACCCAGTAGCAGCAGCCTGCAACCCAATTCTCTCACATCTTTATAACTCTGTGCAAACCGTTTTCTCAGGGTGCACCGTCTCATGACTCAGTGGGGGGGAACAGTCAGGAAGGCAGGGCGCTGTGCTGGTTACCAGGGCATCCCCAGCACCTTAGGCTGTCGGACACACAGGACTCTCTCCTCTCCCTGCCCTCTGCCAGGTAGGCCTCTCCCTGCTTGCTCAACAGTCTGGCTCTGCCTGGGCCCTCAGAATGCAGAGCCTCTGCTGGGCCCCTGTGGTAGCTGCTACTGCATCTGGGAACACACTGCCTGATGGTACCCACTGGCAGGTCTGTGGGTAAAATTGGCACCCCTCTGCCAGTAGACTGTGAGCCCCCTAAGGGCAGGGATGGAGTCTACGTTTTTTGCTCCATGGTCCATCCCTGGCTCCTGGCCCACAGCTGGTTGACACTAATTAACTGCTGCGTCTTCAGGCCATCCCGTGGGCTCCCTGGTTTCTCTCCTGCCACACTGAGCCTCCCAAAGGAGAGCACTTGAATTATCAGGCTGTGGCACACCTTCCCTGTCTGCTCTCACAAGCAAAGCTTTCTGCCAGGGATCCTCTAAGACCCTAATCCAGCATCAGTGGGGGGCACTTACTCGCCAGGATGTGGGGGCTGAGAGCCGGCCACCTGATTCTGCTTGGCTTTCTGCTCCATTTTGGCTTCAATTTCCCTTTTCTTCTGAGCAATGAGCTCTTCCTGGTGAAGTATGTTCATGCTCATTCTTCCTGACTTGGGAGGGGCAACCCCAAACCACCGGTTAGCCTTTCCTGGGGAAGGAAAAGAAAATACCAGAAATCATCCTTGCTCTGCAAACCCAGCGGTGCTAGAGGCAGCCCAGTTGCTGTTACCCACTGAAACTCACATTGTGATTGACGTTCATTCACCTATTTGTTCATTTCCACAAACATTTAACTGAGCCATGCCCCTGGCATTGTGTTAAGTGCTAACCAAGAGAAAAGGGTCCCCTGCCCCCATGATCACCTGCGGCTGAGGAGACAATAGCCTTGTAACAAAACATGGCTGCAAAATTGTGGTAAGAGCTCTCTACTAGAAACCAAAAAAGGTGAGAAAATAACAGAGGAACACCTATACAGATAGGGTACCCAAAAAATAACTGTCAGAAGAGGGTACATTTAAGCTGAAACCAAAATAGATAAAGGGACAGTCTCCTGAAAAGCCACAGGAGAAGAAATCTGGGCAGGATGGAAAAAAAAAACAAGTGCAAAAACCTAAGGCAGGAAGAAGCCTGGTACATCCAAGGACCAGCAGGGGTCAGTCTGGCCAGAGTGGACCATTCTGGAGATGGGCTGGGGGAGGTGTCAAAATGGTGAATCTGGGTTTTACTTTAAGGGGTTCTGGGAAGCTGACAAGCAGTATTTTTAAGATCATTCTGGCTACTGATTGGAGAGAGTGCATAGGCACCAAGGAGACCACCCAGGTGGCTTGCTGGCTCCAAGCTAAAAATGATCGTGCTTTTCAAAGGTGGTAGGCGTGGAGATGGTGATGACACCTCAAGTTTCCTCACGGAACTCAGAATAAAATCCAAACACTGAAAGTTGGTTTTCAAGGCTCTGACACAGACGACACCCCTCCTGACTTCCACTCCATCCTTAACATTTTTCAAATGATAAGAATGTCCCTCCTCTTCAGGAAGGCTCTGCCTTCCAGGCCTTCCCGGAGCTGGTATCTTCTCATCTCAAATGTCTTCGGCTCAAAAAGGCCTTAATTGACCACCCAGTAGCAGCAGCCTGCACCCCTATTCTCTCACATCTTTATAACTGTGCAAACTGTTTTCTCAGGGTGCACCACCTGACAACTCAGTGGGAAGTAACCGTCAGGAAGGCAGGGCCCTGTGCTGGTTACCACTGCATCCCCAGCGCCTAGCACCGTGACCGGCACGCAGTATTTGTTGAATGGGTGACTGCATCCCAGTACAGGCGGGTTTACGCTGGGAGGGAAGGCCAAGGTTTGCGGTGAAGTCGGGGCTAGAAGGACCCGGGAACCTGTGTACTGGGAGACCTACTGCAATTCGGAAAAACAGCCTTTCCAGAAAGCTGGACCCAGGCCCGGCGGCCGGTGCTACAAAAACAAAGACGCAAGGCTGCCCCAAGTTGCCGCTCTTTCGGGGAGGGAGCTCGCGGCAGCCCTGAAGATGGCTATTTCGTTAAGCGGCTGCGGGGCCGACCCGGTGGCAGCCTTCACGGGACGCCGGGCGCAATCAACAAACGAGGCGGGAAGCCAGCAACTGGGTCTGGGGTCTTCAGAGACAGGGGAGGTGCAGAAGGAAGCCGACGCTCCTGGACTCCCAAAGGCTGGGGAGAGGGGCCGGCGGGTCGCAGCAGGCGCGACGGGAAGGCGCAGCGTCGACGCGGAGCCCCAAGAACCCAGGCCAGCTCCTGAGGGGAAGGTCGGGGTTGTTACCTGCAACGTCCCTGTAGTCCATCTTGACTCATCCAATCCCACAATGCTCCCGCGCCACCAGAGGAGGCCTGGTATACTGCGCGCGGCCTCATGGGAGGTGTAGTCCACATCGGCTCACCAGGCCCTGTAACGGCGCGGACGACTGGGGTTTTTCTTCCAGGAAAGTAAATATCAGCCAATGGCAATTTGTGGTTTCAGTCTCTCCAGCCAGAGGGCGTCGTCCTTCCTTATACCTTCCCGGAGCAGAGGCCACTCCCAATACAAACTATACGTTCCGGGATGCTCTGCGCGTAAACTCCCGCGAGAGACGCGAGAGCACGGCCCCGCCCAGTGCGCCCGCTTCCGCCTCCCTGTGGCCTCGGCTTGTTGTGTATGCCGAAATAGCGGCTCAGGCGGCTGCCGCTGCTTAAGCGGCTGCGGCCCAGGCAGCGCAGGCCGAGGCGGCCGGATCGTGGTACCTGGCGCTCCTGGGCTTCGCCGAGCACTTCCGCACTTCCAGCCCGCCCAAGATCCGCCTGTGCGTGCACTGCCTGCAGGCCGTGTTCCCCTTCAAACCGCCGCAGCGCATCGAGGCCCGCACGCACCTGCAGCTCGGCTCCGNCACACACCACTGAGTGGACTAATACTGCCTCTTGTGCTTTGGGCAAAGCAACAGCTTTAAACAGTCCCCAGGAGAAAAGGCTGTCTGTGGTGCTTGACACACTAGCACCCAGTGTGAAGAGCAAGTATACCTTAGTCACAAGCTACAGTGTCCTTTGAAACTCTAATTCTGACTGTTCACTGCATGCGGCCTCACGCTCTTGCTCACCTTCTTTCTGGACACGGGGCGACCCCGAGGCCTGTCGTAGGCAATGCGAACTGGTTCATGAACTGGAAGACAAAAGACACAGAAAGAAACAAACACACGGGGAGATTCTCAAGATAGCTGTGTTAGTAGGATGGTGGAAATCTCCTCCCAAAATCATATATATTTGGAAAATACAGCGAGTACAACTATCCCTAAAAGAGTGACTGGAAGACACAGTACACAAGCCAGGCTACATCTCCAAGAGACCAACACCTCATGGAAAAGGGTAGGAAACAAAGCTGTGAGCCAGTGGGACCCGAGCACTCCCCCCCCACCAGCTCATAGGCAGGGGAAGCACAGGACTGCTGAATGACCAGCCCTGCTGGGCTGCCCCAGGAGCACAGGCACATACTGCATGGTGCACTGGATACTGGAGGAGCAGAAAAGCAAGGTTCGAGACTGAGACTGTGAACAGGTTCCCACAGCTGCTGCCCTGGGACAAAAGAAAAGCAGGCGCTTTAAAAGTCTTAAAGGGCCAAGGGTTTAACAGGTGGACAAAATCGTCCTGCACACTCAGCCCAGCAGGCTGGGAACTTTAAGAAACTTCAGGTGCCCTAACCCCCTGGCTGACGACACAGCTCCAAACGCGCTTGAGGTGATAGGCAGCCTGCTGTTCCGTCCCCCGCGCCAGCACTACAAGCAAACCAGCTGACCCGCCATTGCTGTGGAACAGCCCGGGAACAGCCCTGCCTACAGCAACCACACAGCTTAGCACAGAGGCTTCTCCAGGCGCACAACTAACTAGCCGAAACCTAGAGGCTGTCCCCCTGTGTGCGGTTGACCGGCACAGACAGCGGAGATAGGCGCAGAGTCCGGAAGGCACAAAGGGGCTCTATTATCACGGCAGAACACACACCACTTGCATGCAACCCCCACCAGTGCCCTAGGCCATCACAAGGGCCGCCCCACCCAGGGCAGCTCATGGGATTAACCCAGAGGCTGCTCCCTGTGTGCAGTTAACTGGCACAGATAGCGGAGACTGGCAAGGCGACCGGCAAGCAGGAAGGGATTTTGTTCTCCCAGCTGACACACACGCCACTCCCTGGCCACCATTCCCATCGCCATATAAAGGCAGAAGAACCTTGTTCAGTCCCAAATCCCTCAAACACAAGAGAGAGGGCTTGATGAGACTGAAATCACCAATCTTCCTGAAAAAGAATTCAAAATAAAAGTCATAAGCATGATGATGGAGCTACAGAGAAATATCCAGGAGCTAAGGGATGAATTCAGTTGGGAGATAACAGAAATCAAACAAACAATGGAAGGATTTAAGAGCAGACTCGATGAGGTGGAAGAGACTGTTAATGGAATATAAATCAGAGAACAGGAACACAGAGAGGCTGAGGCAGAGAGAGAGATAAAAGGATCTCTAGGAATGAAAAAATATTAAGAGAACTGTGTGACCAATCCAAACAGAACAATATCCACATTATAGGGGTACCAGAAGAAGAAGAGAGAGAAAAGGGGAAAGAAACTGTCTTTGAAGAAATAATTGCTAAAAACTTCCCCAATCTGGGGAAGGAAATAGTCTCTCAGACCATGGAAGTCCACATCTCCCAACACAAGGGACCCAAGGAAGACAACCCCAAGACACATAATAATTAAAATGGCAAAGGTCAAAGACAAGGACAGGGTATTAAAAGCAGGAGAGAGAGAAAAAAGATCACCTACAAAGGAAATCCCATCAGGCTATCATCAGAGTTCTCCACAAAAACTTACAGGCCAGAAGGGAATGGTATGATATATTCAATGCAATGAAACAGAAGTGCTTTGAACCAAGAATACTTTATCTGGCAAGATTATCATTTAAATTTGAAGGAGGGATTGAACAATTTCGAGATAAGCAAAACAAACCATCTCTACAATGTATTTTAAAGGGACTTCTTTAGATAGAAGTATGCCTAAGGCTAAGAGCTGTCACCAGAGAAAATAAAACAACAGCAAAGAAAGTAGACCACCCAAATACTAACTGAAGGCAAAATAAAACCAGCTATCCACAAAATGAGTCAAGGAAAACACAAAGAGGACAGAATTAAACACCTAACATAAAGAGTAGAGGAGGAAGAAAAAGAAGGGAGAGAAATAAAGAATCATCAGACTGTTCTTATAATAGTTTAGTAAGTGAGTTAAGTTAGACGGTTAGATAGTAAAGGAGCTGCCCTTGAACCTTTGGTAACCACGAATCCAAAGCCTGCAATGGCAGTAAGTGCATTATCTATGGATAATCACCCTAAATGTAAATGGACTGAATGCACCACGGAAAAGACACATACGCTGCCTACAAGAACCTCACTTCAAACTCAAACACATGCACAGACTAAAAGTGAAGGGATGGAAAAAGATATTTCATGCAAACAATACGGAGAAAAAAGCAGGAGTTGCAGTACTTGTATCAGACAAAACAGACTTCAAAACAAAGAAAGTCACAAAAGACAAAGAAGAACATTACATAATGATAAAGGGCTCAGTCCAACAAGAGGATATAACCATTATAAATATCTATGCACCCAACACAGGAGTACCTACATATGTGAAACAAATACTAACAGAATTAAAGGAGGAAATAGAATGCAATGCATTCATTCTAGCAGACTTTAACACTCCACTCACTCCAAAGGACAGATCAACCAGAGAGAAAATAAGTTAGGACACAGAGGCACTGAACAACACACTAGAACAGATGGACCCAACAGACATCTACAGAACTCTACATCCAAAAGCAGCAGGATACACATTCTTCTCAAGCAAATATGGAACATTTTCAAGAACAGACCACATACTAGGCCACAAAAAGAACCTTACTAAATTCAAAAAGACTGAAATTGTACCAACCAACTCTCAGATCACAAAGATATAAAACTAGAAATAAATTGTACAAAGAAAACAAAAGGTGTCACAAATACATAGAGGGTTAATATGCTCCTAAATAACCAATGGATCAATGACCAAATTAAAACAGAGATCAAGCAATATATGGACATAAATGGAAACAACAGCACAAAGCCCCAACTGTGGGACACAGCAAAGGGTGTTCTAAGAGGAAAGTATATAGGAATCCAGGCCTATTTAATGAAGGAAGAACAATCCCAAATGAATAGTCTAAATTCACAATTATTGAAACTGGAAAAAGAAGAATAAATGAGGCCCAAAGTCAGCAGGAGGGACATAATAAAGATCAGAGATGAAATAAATAAAATTGAGAATAATAAAACAATAAAAAAAATTAATGAAACCAAGAGCTGTTCTTTGAGAAAAGAAAATAGATAACCCCCAGACAGACTTATTAAGAAAAAAAAGAGAATCTACACACATAAACAGAATCAGAAATGAGAATGGGAAAATCACAAGGGACACCACAGAACTACAAAGAATTATTAAGAGAATACTATGAAAATCTATATGCTAACAAACTGGATAACCTAGAAGAAATGGACAACTTTCTAGAAAAATACAACCTTCCAAGACTGAGCCAGGAAGAAACAGAATATCTAAACAGACCAATTACCAGCGATAAAATTGAATTGGTAATAAAAAAACTACCCAAGAACAAAACCCCTGGGCCAAATGGATTTACCGCTGAATTTTATCAGACATTTAGAGAAGACATAATACCCATTCTCCTTAAAGTTCCCCAATAAATAGAAAAGGAGGAAATACTTCCAAACTCATTCTATGAAGCCAGCATCACTCTAATACCAAACCCAGGCAAAGACACCCAAAAAAAGAAAACTATAGACCAATATCCCTGATGAACATAGATGCAAAAATACTCAACAAAGTATTAGCAAACTGAATTAAAAAATATGTAAAAAAATCATCCATCATGACCAAGTGGGATTTATTCCAGGTATGCAAGGATGGTACAATATTCATAAATCAATCAACACCATATAGCACATCCAGAAAAAGGAGGACAAAAATCACATGATCATCTCAATAGATGCTGAAAATGCATTTGACAAAATTCAACATTCGTTCATGATAAAAACTCAACAAAATGGGTATAGAGGCAAGTACCTCAACATAATAAAGGCCATATATGACAAACCCACAGCCAACATCATAATTAACAGCAAAAAGCTGAAAGCTTTTCCTCTAATATGAGGAACAATACAAGGATGCCCACTTTTATTCAACATAGTACTGGAGGTCCTAGCCAAGGCAATCAGACAGCACAAAGAGATAATGCCATCCAAATTGATAAGGAAGGAGTGAAACTGTCACTGTTTGCAGATGACATGACATTATACACAGAAAACTCTAAACACTTCACCAAAAAAATATTAGAACTAGTAACTAAATTCAGCAATTTAATACACAGAAATCTGTTGTATTCCTACATATTAACAATGAACTAGCAGAAAGAGAAATCAGAAAAACAATTCCACTTACAATGGCATCAAAAAAAT